CCATGAGAAAATAAAAATAAAAAATAAAACCTGCCCATGAGAAAATAAAAATAAAAAATAAAACCTGCCCATGAGAAAATAAATAAATAAATAAAAAAGAAAAGCAGCCCATGCAGCTGCCTCTCTGGTTTCAACCCAAACATGAGCTCCAGCAGCAGGTCCACCTGTCAGCTCCACCTCACACACAGACAGACTGATGGCTCGCTCCAGGTATTAGACTGAGCCGGGAACCAAAACCTGCTCACCGCAGAACTAAAAACAACTTCTGATCTTTTCACTCAGAAACAGTTTAGTGAAAATCTTTAAAGGGTCTGTGACATCACATTTTTGTCATAAATGTGAAAGTGTTTGTGGAAAGAGAACATTGATAACATGAAGCAAAACAAATTTCACGCCGTTGAGACGAACAGCTGCTGAGATATTTACACGTGAAGAAACAGGAAGTGATGTCAGAGGGGGACGCCTGCACGTAAACAGAGCGATGCCACAATGATTAGAGAAGAACTGGATGTTTCTTTAGATTATTTTCAGTCACTATAAGAGTTAAAGAAGAGTTTAAATACGATTGTTTCAATAAACAAAGACTYGAGTTTGTTTTCTTAAAGAGTRCCCTTTGATGTCACTTCCTGTTTCACTTTGAGCCAAAATTAAGAGAAAATATGTTAGTTCTGAGACAAAATGGGTAAAATCATGTGTATTATGCTAATTTCTTAAATATAAATGTTTTCTTTGACTTTTTGTGTTTGAAGGATGAGCATGGCCCTTTGACAAAAACCATTTAGACACAACTTTGTGTGTTTGTATGTAAAACAAAGATTGTGTATGTGTTGATGTGATTTTTATGTTGTAACTAACTAAAACAGATCTGTGTGAGGTTATCATCTGTTCGTTTGGCAGCAATAAATTCTCATTTTTATTATTATTATTTTTATTTTCATAGGTTTYTCACAGTTTGTGTGGTCAGATAAACTTCCTGTTGTATTTATGGTCAAAAATCTGGAAGATTTCCTGAATTTACTGCAACAGGAAAAATATCTATTATGTCTTCAGGTAAAAATAAACCTTTTCAGATTAAAAGCATAATAAAAATATTATAATCCTTGGAAGGTGGTTAATATAATACATGAACAACACAAGGCCTGTAACAGTAATATTTTATAATAACTACACCTTATTTTGTCTTTCCCTAATTATTAATAAAGAGTTCACTTTGAAAACATCATTAACTAGAGAAATTGCYTTTCCTGTGAAAACACTAGCGTGAATGCTTCCTGCTGGAAACTTCAGCTGAAAGCTGCTGAAATTGAGCTGGAAATYTTTAACAGTAAAAGTGTTGATGTGAGCACACTTTGAAAAGAAACAAAAAAAGACTAACTTTGCAGAAAAACAGTAAAAAGGAGCACATATCTTGTTGAAAACAAAAAAACAGCTAAAAGCTAAAACAGCTAAATATAGCTGAAGATATCTGCAAGAAGCATAAGTAGCACTAGGTAGCAGAAAAAGGCATAAAAAGTTAAATAAAGCAGTAGCATAGCAGAAAGATGCAGATCTATTGCTAAAGTAGCATAAATAAGCTAAAATTAGCATAGAATAGGCTAAAGATAGCAGCCACAAGTTGAAATTAGCACCCCGATAGAGAAAGTGTTGTAAAACTTGCAAAACTAGCAGAAAAATTGCTTGTGAGCACAAAAAAGTGATAATTAGAGGTAAAATGGCTAAAACAGCTGAAGGTTTCAGTAAAACAGCTAAAAAAAGTAGCTGGAGTTTAAATTAGCATAATAAAGAGCACAAGTTTGCTGAAGTTTTCAGAAAAAGTTTTAATAGCTACAAAAATGTGTATTTAGCTTAGAAAAGCTAACTTTAGCTAACAGTAGCTAAACATTAGTGAAATTTTCAGCAAATAGCTGATTATAGCGGTAAGTATCTGTAAGAAACATAAACAGCAGGAAAAAGTACAAAAAAGGTAGAAAAAGGCAGAATAGCAGAAAGAAGCTGAATTTTAGCTGAAATAGCAAAAACGTAGCTAAAATTAGCACACGGATGTGAAAAAGAGCCCAACCAGAGCTACATGTGTTCGGTTCTGTAAAGTAGAAACATTTTAAAGAGTTTAAGGATGTTGAAAACAGCTTCATTCATTTTCTGTGGCAAAAAGTGGCTAAAATATTTAAAGTGTAAAAAGCTGAAAAACCTGAAGTCACAGATTTTTAAGACTAATCAGTTTTTTGTTTTCTGTTGTGTATTATGTTTGTTTTTGTCTCTTTTATGTCACCGTGGACCATGAGTCTATAGAATAAACTAATCAACCAGTTCTAGCTGCCGTCACATGAACCAG